TTGTTTGACACTAAACTATTACTTTATGTTAATCAGTAGTTTCTTGAATTTGGTGAATTTAAACATTAACGGAATAGTAAAATGTTTACTCTTTTATTTTAATTGATTGTCTTTTATTTTATTTAGTTTTATTTTATAATATTTTCTAAACTTTAATTTCTTTAATAAATTGTTATCGTTAATTTAATTACTTGGATTTCTGACTGCTTAAATCCTTTATCTTCCCAAAGTAATTGGCTCCACAAAATAACGCTGGAGAACCTGCCTCAAATAAATATTATTCTTCTTGTGGCGTAACCCGCTCGGACCGTAAAAGAATTCGACTTTTATCAAAGAGTCTTAAACACCCGCCACAGTAATATTTCCTGTTCTTGATTGTGAGGGACCTATTGTAACAATTTGTTTCTTATTAGTAAGGTACGAATTAAAAAAAAATGTTGAAATGTTGTCAAAACCATAAAATGATAATTTTGCACATAAAAGTGAGTGATCTAAGGTGTCAAATGCTTTAGAAAAATCCAACAATGTCACAATCACCTTTATCCAAAGCTCTAAAGCAATCATCAAGAATTTTACCGAGGGCTGTATGATACTTTAATTTTTTCAATATCCTGATTGTTTATTCGTAATAATACCTTCAGAAACAGCATAATTGTAAACCTGTTTATAAATGACTTTTTCTAAATTTTTGATAAGACGGGTAGTATACTAATGGGTCTTAAGTCAGAGCATGTAGTGGGATTTTTAATTTTGGTAAAGGACGCACCAAAGCAGTTTTCCACATTTCTGGATAATATCCAATCTCAATACAGCAGTTAACAATATGAGTCAATATGGGTGAACATAATTTCAACATTTTTGCTGAAATGTTGTCAACAACACCAAGAGCATTTGATTTTAAATCATCAATTATCTGATGATGATATTTCAAAAAATATTTTGTTGTTGGTTTGAAAACTTGTATTTTTTGTGAAGAGTTTCAGTCGTTTTGAAACTTTTCATAAATAGCATCGTTATCTACTGGTATTTTGTAAAAATCAATATGCCTTCTAATCACAATCTTCGGGATTATGCCCTTGATGCATACATAATAATAGGCTGAGTCACTTATAATAAAGACTCTAACCGATTTTTAGACGCAACCCAAAATACATTCTCACAGTCAACTTTGCTTTTTGTGCGTTTGAATAATTTAGTTCATTAAAGTCAAATCAAAGTAATTGTTGATATGTCATTAATTAAATTTGACAGTGTCAAAAATTCTACTTTCTTTTTCCCTTGAATTCAAAATGTATTCAAACAACGAAGAAACTGATATGATCTTGAGAAATGGGGAATGCTGCAAAATCTTGTCGCTGAATCTGAATTTCAAGTTCTAAAAATTGTCAAAGCTATCACAGGTATCTATGTTTATATCTTTGAAAAATTTCAAACAGAACATTAACGCATAGTGGTATCTGAAAATGTATTTTGGGTTGCGTCTAAAAATCGGTTAGGGTCTTTATTATATATGGACTCACCCTGTATATGTAGTTACATAAATAAACAGCGTCCAGACTTAAAAAAAAGCTACAGTTTCTGGCTCTAAAAGAGAATTTAGATTTTTGTGAGGTAGGTAGGTGCTATTTTTACTTCCGCCTCCCAGTTATTCCTCTCTTTGAAGGTTCTCTCATTTCCCAGCGGATCAATTGTTTTGCAAGTGTACGCCGTCTTATTGTGTACTTGAGCTTTTTCCGACTTCATCGAATTGGCCACCTTCGCAGTGTTTTCGTCGGCAAACAGACCGCACTTGCGCCACACGCGACTTCTGGGGGGTTTGGCTCGTCTCTCAGTTCAGCGAGCGTTTCCGTGTGCGTCGCCGACTCGCCGCCGCCGCTTTGTGATGTTCCTCCGTCGAGCGTAAGATGAGTTCGAACAACACAATCGCGTGCAGCCCCGGCCTGATGCTGCCCTGCTGGGAGCCCTTGGAGGACGTCCCGCTCGTCGACAAGGTGGGCCGCGGCCTCGTCTACTTCCTCTCCATGGTGTACCTCTTCATCGGGGTGTCCATCGTCTCGGACCGCTTCATGGCAGCCATCGAAGTCATCACGTCGCAGGAGCGCGAAGTCACCATCAAGCGCCCGGGAGGCGAAAGGCAGATCATCGTTGTTAGGATGTGGAACGAGACGGTCGCTAATTTAACGCTGATGGCGCTGGGGTCGAGCGCGCCGGAAATCCTGCTCTCGGTCATCGAGATCTACGCGAAGAACTTCGAGGCTGGGGAATTAGGGCCAGGGACGATCGTGGGCTCGGCAGCATATAATCTTTTCGTGATTATTGCGTTATGCGTGTCGGTTATCCCCGATGGCGAAGTGAGGAAAATCAAACACTTGAGTGTTTTCTTCGTGACGGCGATTTGGTCCGTTTTTGCTTATGTATGGTTGTATATGATACTTGCGCTCTTTTCGCCGGGGATTGTAGAGATCTGGGAGGGACTCTTGACGTTCATGTTTTTCCCACTGACGGTACTTACCGCCTATGCTGCTGATCGAAAAATGTACAAATACGTGAAGAAGGATTATAGGTAACTGTTCATTTTAATGTATAATTTAATTAAATTACAATGATCGACCTGGAAGTCTTCAATAATATGTCTACGAAATCAATGACATTCATAATTTAGTAGTCGAAGGGTTTCTCACGACAAGAGAAAGCGTTGGCAAGTCGAAATTACTACAAGAGGCGAGTCCGAATTCGGCTCAAAAAATTTGAGTTCGATTCCTCATCTAATCATTTTTTTTCAGTATTTTCTAATAAAACAAAAAGAATTGTCTATCTTTCAATACTCTGATTTATTAATGAGACAACATTAAACGTAAAACATTTGAATTTCATGTTGTCCTAGTGCCAATTGTCTACGTATTGTGGTTGTCAAGATTAACTCGATGAAATGTTAGAAACAAAGAAACTTTCGGATTTTTTATGTCAGTTGTATGTTGTGTACATTAATAAAATTTGGTAAATGATTAGTAAAAAGTGTCAACATTAACATACAGGATGCGCGCCAGAACTCGCGCCCTAGAGAAAAATGCCATATAAGGTAAGATACCAGGGACTTGGAAAAAATTAAAAAAAAAATTATCCATCAAAATTTCGAAGTTATGAGAGTTTAAATTTTGCACTTTGACTCTATTTATTTCTGTTGGAAAAATAATTTTCCAAGGTTTTTTGCTATAGACTATTAAAAGAGGCAACAAGGAAGCTATATCCTAAATTGTAACTCTGTTCAATGTTATTTGTGGCCTTTATTTGCAAAATTTTTTGTACTTTCAGTAAATAATTGTAAAAAAACATACACAAGATCATCAGTATCATTAACAAGACATAAAAAAATGTCAAATGTCAAAAAATGAATATCAAAATTTTTAAACATTTTTTTCATGTTCCTGGTAGCTTATCTTATAGCCGTATCAACAAGAAATTACTCTTTAGGATTTAGGGATATTCGTGAATAGGTTGCCATAAATTTGGTTAGGTTGCTTTCTGAAGACAAACAAAAGATATCTTAGCTAGTGTCAAAATTTAGGTTAAGTCACCTATCAGCTTGTATGGATAATTTAATTGATAGTTGACAGCAGGTTGACAAAAAACTTGAATCGTCAACAACAAGGGATAACCAGCCTTAGACATACAAAATTACTTCTGAAAATTCTAGTTACAAACATGAAAAACGTAATTTTCCTAAAAGTTCAAATCCTAGGTGGTAATTTCTTGTTGACAAATCTGTACTTGAAATTTTTCTCTGGGGCGCGAATTCTGGCGCACTCTGTATAAAAAAATCAAAGTCGTATCTTTTATAATTTGTTAGATATCTGTAGTTAAACTTGACCAAAATCAGCACTTTTTTGCAGTGCGCCACCTTAAGCTCAAATACTCTTCTTAAAAAAATGTAACCCAACAGGGTTTGCCAAATGAAGTGTTACAAGCAAAAGTATTAAGATTTGTTATTTCTCATTATTGTGTACTTTTATTTTATTTTATTTTATTTTACAAATTTGCTCAAAATATTAAAAAACGATTCAAGTTAATGAAAATATGCTCAAAAAAATATTTATTAAACCACCCTCGACCAGATTACGCTTCGCAATCGTGAACTTGATAACTTAAAACTTTAAGTTATTTTTATTGAAGGGCTGTTACAGCTTTATCATACTTTGAAAACAGAAATCTAAGACGTTCGCTTTAAGTAAATTTGCGAGGCAAGAGTCGCTTTTAAAATCAACTGCCGACCGTCTTTTTGCAATCATTCCTAGTTCATGTTACAAATTATGTGAGACGATAACAAGAATGTAAAATAAGTTATATCATAATATGTATGTAGATACATACAGGGTGTCCCAGAGAGTTTGAAAAAGTCCATTAGTGACCTTTAAATGGTAAAATTTATAAAAATATTGTATAGGACATTGATACAAAGTGATCCAGAAAGACTGAGTCTGTTGGTAATAGATTTGAAAGTATTCTCTATTTTTGTTAATAATTTGAAACACAGGAACCGGATTCGGTTTTGCTTGACAAATACTTGACGTAAAGTTGCGGAATTAAAATTTCGGACAGAATTTTTCTGTCACTTTAAAAAGTTAACTGTAAACTACCTTTTACTGTCATCATGACTCACATTTGACAAATAAATATTTTTGTTGTTAAAATTGTTAATTAAATGTCAGGAAATTTATTAATTGAACTAAGTGTAATTAAATCATCGCTTTGATCTGCTGCCTACCCGTTATTATGCCACAAATCACTATTTTTGAAAGTAAATAAGTCAAAATGACATAAACATTACAAGAGTAAAAAATGAGGTTATTCATGTAAAGGTTGTTTTAGAGTTTACTTTATGAAAATGACAATACTGCCCGAAATTTTAATTCCGCAACTGTACAATCCCACAAGATGTTGAATTGTTGTTAATCAAAAGCGCACTCCAATAGTAAGCTTTAAAAATTAGAGACAGGATTGCCAACAGATTCATTCATTGTGGATCACTTTGTAGATTGGTACTAATCTAGTGCATTACTTAAAATTATTTTCAACCATGCAGCATGTCCCAAAAATAAGTTATGATACAAATTTGTGTTTTTTTTTAAATGAAACACCGTATGTTTCGCATTTTTGGATGTAGCCTTTTAAAACAATATTTTTATGCTAAACTTTTATTAGTCGCTTAGTTTTAGAAATAAGATGGTTTTTTTTGACGAAAACATGCATTTTTTAAAAATCTATTACACAAAAAGTAAGACAGCCAGAACATCTTTTTTACTGCTGCAAAGAAGAAAGTACAGAATTTAAAGCTGTTGCTTTTTTAGTGTTTTGCATTTGTAAAGATTAATAAATCAAGAAGTTTGTTAAAAGTTAAATAACTTAAAAAAAATTAAATAGAACACTCTATTTTTGCATCTAATAGATTGATAAATTGTCTATCTAAAAAATAAATTTTTTATGTCTAGAATTGATAAATGAAAAGATATTTAACATTCAACATTAATCGTAGCAACAATGCCTATCAATATCTGAGAATTGTTGATACTATGGCAACCATAGTATTTCCATTACGGATCAGTTATCCGTTGGTTAATCCAGAGATTGTAAAAGTCGTTATTATAAATACTGAAATTTGAATTATTTTATTGTAAAAATAAAGAATAGTGGATTCAGTTTAACACAAATGTGATTATTAAGTGATATTTCTTTCATCTTTTGTGCAACTGTGCACTTTTTGGCTATACTGAAACAATAGTATTTTTTTTAATGTTTAACGTTAAATATTTTTTTATTATTATTATTATATTATTGATTATAAATACCAAAAGTAAATAATTTTAGAAAGACAATTTAATATTTTTTTCAATGCAAAAACAATAAATAGGTTGTTCCATTTTTTATCTTTGCAAATACACTAAAAAAATGTTACAACCTTATAGCTTGTACATACCTTCTTCTTTGCGGTACTAAAAAAATATTTCTAGATGTCTTAGTGTAATAATGTTTTAAAAAGTGCATGTTGCACGTCTTATTATTAAAACTAAGCAAAATCGACCAATAAAAAAAAGTTTACATTATAAACATTGTCATAAAAATCTACATCTAAAAACGCTAAATTTCATTAAAAAAAACACAAGTTACAATACAGTAACTTATTTTTGAGATACGCTGTATAGTTGAAAATAATTTTAGGCGATGGACTAGATTAGTGTCTATCACTGTCTTATATATATATTTTTAATTTTACCATTTAAAGGTCACTAATGAACTTTTTCAACTCACTGAACATACATTGGTAGAATAAATTTTATACAATAGGTACACATTACTAAAGCCTTTTTTCGTCTTTTGTTGCTCTTATTTTTAGACCTGGTTCGAAAAAATCTAAATCATAAAAGAAACATGTTTTCGGATATTGCCCATTAAAGAAACGAGTAAATTAAGGCCTGATATTATTATTTCTAATTGATAGAGCATAAACCCACTCTTTTGTCGAAATTTTTTCTGATCTTTTTGCATAAATGTGACTGAATTTCGTTGATACAGCGTTCAATTTCCTCCGTCAAGGCATTGGTGGTTGTGGGCTTGTTGGTACAACCTAAAAAAATCACAAAGAAAAAAGTTCAACGGTGTTAAATCGCATGATCCGGGCGCCAATTCTGATCACCAAAACAGGAAATTACACGACCAGGAAATGTCTCATGTAGTAATTGAATTGTTTCTCGGGCATGTGGCATCGTCTTGTTGAAACCACATGTAATTTGGGCACATGTTTGTACTAGCCGTGGAGGTCATTTGTCGGATATCCTGTTCCATATACTGTACTTTATAAATCACTAAAGAATAATTTCAGTTTTTGACAAAAACCTGTGTTTCCTGCTATCAAAATTACTTCTTGCACGAATTTTAGGATAGGTAGGTAACCTATCCTTTATTAACAAATCTAAAATTTGTATTAATATTAATCTATTTTAGCAACAGAACGATTGTGTAAACGAGCAATTTTACTGTTTCTTTTGTGTATGCTTAAATCAAAAAAGACCAAAATGCTCTTGCATTATTAACTCTTGCTCTTCTAAAAAATATACTGCTTTTTAGAAAACACTATGTATTCTGTAGATAACATTTACTGTGTTTTGTAAAAATCAGAAAATTGTTAACAGTTTTAATCAAGAAATTGCTTTTTTCAAATCATTAAAAAATCAACTCAAAATTGTTATAAAATTTCGGTATATTATTTACAACTTATAAATTATTTTTCGGAATTTCTTTTTTAGTTGTGCACTAATGAAAGTATTTAGACTTTAATCACATAATTAACCAACAGTGAGACAATAGAGCGGAAAATGAGAGAAATTTAGAGTCTTATTCTGTAGCATCTTCAACATTCTTTGTACTGTAATTTATTATTTTTCCTTATTATAGCAGTGTTACCGTATAGTATTAAGTAGTCCTATAAATTGTGAAAATCAATAGTTTGTTTTCGAATACCATAAGCTTTTGAATTGTTGTTTCCTTGTTTAATGTGCCAATAAATTGTAACGCATTAATGCAATAGGAGGATATGTCTGAAATAATAACAATTCGATAGATAAAATAAAATAGATTGTACCAAAAAGCCAATAATTGGTGATAACTGGGTGATAACTGATAATGAATGAAAGATTATTATTGACAAATAATTAAAACTTTTTACGCTTTTAAATTAAAAATTGTTGTTGATTGTTTTTTAAACATTAGCTGAAAGCTAAAATCAGACTTGCGTTTAATTTATTGAGTTGAAATCCATTTCAATAAGTCGATAATTTATTCAGTACGTGAACTCTTATTTTATATGAAAATAATACAAAAACTTGAATTAGCAACTTTCTTATTTTTTAACTTAAAGTAAATTTTGATTAAAACTTGTTTTTTTTTAATGTTTCTGGGAAGAGTGGGTTTTAAATACAGGCTATCCCAACTAAAATGTGCGTGCAAGTTTGGAAAAAATGCTGAAACAGGTCAATTTTAACAAAAATAATAAATTACAAGAGGGGTGGAGAGACACATTATTTTGAGGATATTTTGAGCAGTAGGAATGTTCTTTAAATTGAATTGTTTTTTTATAACCACTTTTGTTTCCTCTGACAATAAGTAAAAAAAAATCCTTCAAAATGGAAAAAAAACATGGTTGCAGTGAAAGCAACTTTAAAATGATGTTACTTGCCCCCTCGTGCTATTTAATTTTTTTGAAGGGATGGCTCTGAGCGTTAGAGGGATGCAAAAATAACATTGAAACTTTGATAATTTATTTTTAACGTAACAATATATCTAAGACATACGTTCATTAAATTTTTACAATACTTTTGATGTACGTATACTCGTTTTCATATTCATGTGCATCGCAGTAATCGTTGAAAGGGGTCATTTTAAGGTGACAATCACGCGAAAATTCAAACAATCCCAACCTCAATGTTCCCGAAAAATTATTTTATGAAATAAATGTGTGACGTACCCCAGTTTTTGAGGTAGCAAAAAATAATTAAAATTAACAACAAAGATTTTTGCCATTATTGATGTGAATAAATTTGTTCTGAATGACATTAATGACACTTTTTGTGTGAATTGGCCTTTAAATTAAAGATGTATTTAGACTTCCACAAAAGATTTTATACCTAATATTTTTTAACAACAGTTTCAAAGTAACTTGAAAAATGTCGTTTGCGCAATAAATTTTTGGAATTCACACAAGATATAATTTTATATGACGATAAAGTAATACCGTGACACCATTAATGACTGTTTAAGTTAGCAACAACTGTCAATGTTTCTATAGAGTTGTTGCTCTATAATTAACAAAAAACTTCTGCTAGAACAAATAATTTTGCAAATTTCAAATGAAATTTTATATTTTCGACTCGACTGTTTCATACTTTTGTTTACTTAATAGCCTTGACACATTTTCTAAGTCATGTATTTAATTTAAAACTAGTACTTGTCTTTTAAAATTCAGGAAATTTCTCACGAAATGAGAGAAAATTTATTACAAACACCCAACGCATATTAATTCGGAGTTGTGGGAAATCTATTTATATCCATTTATATAATTGCTTAATTTGTTTGTTAACTACTGTTAGATTAGTTAATTTGTTTTATTAAATCTCTCCTAGTAGTTACTCATATTTTCGAGCACGTCTTAATATAGTTTTTTCACTCGCTCTGTTCTCTCTTTTCTTAGTTTTATTTTAAAGAAACTTAGAGCTCCTCGAAATAAAATTGAATTCTGTTTATAACGTTAAATTTTTAAACCTTAATGCGGAACGTGGAATGCTCGCATAAGGGAAATTCGCATTATACGGTCCTTGCCAAAAAATTGTATAGCGGATAGAAAAGCTAAATTAGTTTGGCGGGGGTGAGCGTTCCCCAGCATCAAAGAACGGAAATAAAAGATAAAAAAGCTGTTACCTACTGGAATTGGATTTAGAGTTTTCCTTGTGTTAAAGGTTTCACAAAATGTTTGTTTTCTGACGTTTATCTAAAGACGTTCTGTAAATATGCTGCGAACTCTGACCAGTTATATTTTTGCAAAAAATTTTTTTTTATTTCAGGATGAACCGTCGAGGGGTTATCGTTCAAGCTGAAGGTGACAACCTCGAAATGGGCAGTACTGAACTTCTTGGTCTTGACGATGTCCACGACGACATTAAACAAGAATACATAACAACTCTCAAAGAACTGCGTCAGCAGCACCCGCATGCTGATTTAGGGACACTTGAACGCATGGCTCACGAGATCCTCCTCAATCGTGGTCCCAAATCCCGTGCATTTTACCGCATCCAAGCCACTAGAAAACTCATGGGTAGTGGAGACCTTCTGCGTCGAATCTCCGAACGTGCTCAGAGCGACTTGAGCGAAATCAAAGCGGAACTCCAACGAGAATCAGGCGCTGCAGAGTTCAACTCCTCCAGTTGTCGGGTTTTCTTCGAACCTTCCAAATACACAGTTCTTGAAAGCTGCGGCAAGTTTGAGGTTCGAATTGCAAGGACAGGAGATTTGGACAGCGCCGTCAGTGTTGATTATTTCACTGAAGATGGGACGGCGCAAGCTGGAAGTGATTATATTCCGATTAAAGGGACTTTGCATTTTGGACCTGGTGATAAGGAGAAGAAGTTGACTCTGGAAGTAATAGATGATGATGTTTTTGAACCCGATGAACACTTTTATGTTAAACTGGGGTCGGCTAAGCCTCCAGAAGTTTTAGCTTCTCCCACTTTGGCAACGGTTATTATTTTGGATGATGATCATGGGGGTTTGTTTAAGTTTGAAGAGCAGAATCACGAGTTGGTGGAAAGTGTTGGTACTTATGAACTTAAAGTGGTTAGGTGTTCAGGTGCGAGAGGAAGGGTCATTGTGCCCTATTGGACTGAAGATGGGACTGCCAAGGCTGGGAAAGAGTATGAAACAAATGAGGGACAACTTATCTTTGAAAACAACGAATCAGAGTAAGTGGAATATTTTGTTTATGCCAAAATATTTAGTTCATTTATGTTTTGTTTTTGTTTTATTTTATATTGTTTGTAAAGTCTTCTTTAATATCGACGTCACGTTTAATAAGTGGATCGATGACTACTTTATCTTTAAACCACCTACCGTGGATATTAGAAAAAGCTATAGGAAAGATTTTATTATGGAATATTTTGTGTTTTTTATTATTAATTAAAAGTAAGTTAGAAATATGCTACAAACTTATGCAATACCTCTTTGATTAATAATGTTAGATTAATTAAAGAACTAATCAAATGTTTAGAAGAAAAATGCCAAATGAAACAACCAAAGTTACCAAAATAAAATTTAAAAGAAGCATTCAGTTGTGTCATCTAAATCTTTAATAGTATACATGAGGGGAAGATTCCGGATTCCAAATTTAGATTTTTGGCGTCAATTGGCCTCTAAATTAGAAAAATTTTGCTGTATGCCAATTTGTTATTTTATAAATAACGCTCCAATTAACCATGAAAAAATTAAAAATAAGAAATTAGAAATTGTAAGTTGTAATAGTAAGAAAAAGATAAAGATAAATTGGATCAGTTGTACTCGTACTTGTTTCATCAGTGTTTAGATACATAACTTTATAATTTTTATTTCTTTCCTTAAAAATTAAATTTATATAATGTTTTGTTTATACTTTTTTATGAGAAAATTAATACGACTCAACTAACATAATTTTTGTTTCATTTAAAAGATATTTTGGCTTAATTGTAATCGGAAGCAGCTGCCTGCTTTAAATAAAACTAGGTTGAAGAAAAATTTCGTGAGAGCGCTTGGGAAAAATAGATCGGCTTTTGAATATTTAAAACACACAGTGCCTAACCTTTTCTAATCTTTTCAATGTAAACAAATTAAAAGAAAAAGTACAAATTATGAATAAACTGTTTTTATTTATTTTATAAATTACCATAAAATGGAGACCAATCTGTCCCTGAAAATATTTTTTTATATGTATTTTTTTTGAGAAAATTTTAGAAGCATGATTTTTTTATGAGGATTTGAAGTGATTTCTTGTTGGTCTATTTTAAGAGAAATAAATCAATATAAGTGGAATTTGCAATTTTTAATTTTTTGTAACTAATTTTTCTAAAAAAAATAGCGTTTTGTTTCAACTTCAAAATTGAATTAACTATCAACTAGTGCGATTTCAAAGCGATTTCAAGTGTTACAAATAAAATGTATAGAATCCTATACGCATTTCCACATTGTGAAGAATTTTTTTGCTTCGAATTTTAAAGACTTTCTATCAGGACTTACCAAAACCTCATCAAACCGGTAAAAATTGGGAAAGCAACGGAATTTTTTGAGATCATGATAAAGAAGAGCAACTGCCAGTTCATATCTCGTTCATCTTTTCTCACTACACGTTTCATAAAGGTGAAAATGTGTTTTACGTTGTCTATTTTTAATCTGTTTATAAAATTGGCTAGGAACTTAGCTTTTCCTAGCTTCACCTTAATTTAGAATATGTTATTTTTGGCTTTTGTTTTAAATTTAACTAAAATTCATTGTTGTTGTGAATACAAATCTCGATTTTGTAGTGAAAGAAGGTTTACGATTTGCTTAGTTTCAATACACCTACGGTTGTTTAATTTGTACTAATTACGAACTTTATTATTTTAGCAAATGACGGCTTACGAGTACATGCTGTAATTATAGATCTAGAAATTCCGTTCATTAAAATCGGACTGTGTTTAGGTCAGAGTTTAAATTTGAATGCAAACTCGCTAATTATAAATTTGTATTTTCAACATTATATCCGATTATGGCAAAATTATAATTAACTAACAATTATTTTTCATATTTACAGTGAATATACGTCCACTATAAATTGTTTGAATTACAAAATTAATAAATGTGTTGTGCACAAAAATTCTCACGAGTGTTACAAACATAAACAAGAACTTAATTTTTTCATACAAGTGTCAAATTTTAGAAAGGTTTTACTTAAATAATTTCAAAGGTAATTAGGCTTTTGCTTAATTAAAACCCAAGTACCTATCTTTATATTATTAAAGTAGAAAATAGACAGGTAAGTTAATGGCAATAAAAATTTACATACTCGTATGTACTTGTATGAAGCAATTTAATATCACTACGAGCGAAAGCGTTATTATATGTGAAACATCTCCTTGTTATATTATATGTTTAGTGTCTTTCCTGTTATGCAGTTCTACACAAAAGTTGTCCCGTAAAAAGCTCTTGAAACTATCTTTCCAAGTCCACAATTTATCACAGTAAGACAATTTTAAAGGACAAATTACTCTTACACTTTCAGGCACTAATTTTGAATTTTTACTAAAAATAAAAATGCAAAAGGGGTTAAAATGTAAGAGAGCAATTTAGATAGGAATTTACTTAACAATGAAATAAAAGATAAGCAATAACAATTTTTGTTACTAAAAAGGTCTTTGGAACATCTTTAAGTTCAGAGACGAAGTTTCATCTTGATTGTTCTATTTCACACAATTGTAAAACTTGTACTTCTTTCTTTAGCTGTAAATTATATTTTATTTTTGCACTGTGGTAATACCATTATCAATATTTACTTTTCATTTAGTCGATACTTTATTGATTTGTTACGTCAATATCTACCGCCGTTTGCAATAATTAATATTTTATAATTTTTTCAGTGATACCGATTGCATTTTTGAATGTCGATTATTTAATAGATATTACAATTTGTAACAATTTATACTTATTTGACAAAATGTCATCAATGAAATAAATGTGCAAACAAATTGATATTTTTTTATAATTATGTCCATTGAATACTTTCTTTAATACTATGCAAATTACAAAGCAGTGTGGTTGCAAGTGTTTGAACGTTCTCAGTAAAATTGAATTTCGTTTTAAAGGTAATTCAGTGTCTGACATAAAGTTAACGGCAAAGCAATAAGCTGTTAACTAAACATGCGCTTCCTTTGAATTCTATTTTTATTTACATCAGGTCATGGTTTGTTCGTATTGACAAGGAAACCTTTTAAAAATTACTGTATTCAGGATTGTGTTTATTGAAGTAAAAGAGAAATTGCTTGATGAGATAAGGGTGATAATTTTGCAACACCCTTTTAATCTCACAGTTTATTCGTATTTTTCCGCAATAAATGTTTGATGTAGAGAAATATACATATCTGATGTATCAGGCAAAAGGAACTGTTAAAAGTTCATACCTATAAATAATTAATTTTTTTTTTTTTGGTTTTCTTGAAAGTTATTCAAAAGTTTTATCTAGTTTATCTACTGTCAGTGGCAATTATGAAAAATTTAGTTTTAAGATGTCCAACTCAACTATCAAAATAAAGAAAATGTTTTTATTTTAAATAAAGACTTTTTTAAGCAGGAACATAACGTCCTCCTATTTCAAAAATTCAAAAAATTAATGGCAACATTTAATTTAATTTGCTTAGTCTTGATTTCATGTAGTTTTAATATTAATTAGCTAATTACTGTAATTTATAATTAAGATTAATTACAGTAATTGAGATTTATTGAGAAATTTTGATTGATTGAAAAGAAGACGTTGCGAGAGATTACACTGATTACAATATTATCAGCGTTACTGGTTACTACTAAAAACATATAAAATGTGTGAAACACTTTTAAACTCCTAAAATAATAACAGTTTTTTAGAAGATAATAATAATAAGTATATTTTTAAGTTTCAATTGTAGACATTTAACAGTTTTTGTTTAAAAAAAATCAATCGTAAATAGACACAAAAGCAAAGTTCTTAATCAATCTTGCTTTTCATTGACGACTAAGATGACACATTTATTTTATTGATTATGTTAAAGAATAAAAATATTACTCCTATATTATACAAATATTATAGTATTCAAATGAAAATAAACAATTAATAATTAACAGTTCTTGGGTAAAATTGGATACTGTCTTTAAAATTTGAAAGACTTTTGACTTTTTTTAATAAAGTTGAAAAGAAGCAATAATTTAAAGTTTGCCAGTATTGTGTGTTACTCTATATTTATTACTGTTATGAATATTATTTAAGGGAGGATTTTAAGGGTAATTATGTGGGTAATTAGCCATTAATACACAATACTTTCAGGTTTACACCGACTCTATTCTTATCCATGCCATTTTCAAAAATATTCTATTCTTATATGGATAATTGTGATTGTGGCTTTGTTTAGAGAGCTATTAATTTGACGCAGCCTTATGAAAGGATTCTCATTTCAAAAGATATCAATTTACAATCTAAATTTGGATGACCATTCAAAATCAATACGATGATTTTCCTCTTTATTTTACTATTATAACAGCTGTTTTTAAAGTGGTGTATGGTAAGAGTAGTAAGAAAAAGGAGCAAAAGATTTAAATATTTTTTTTTAACAAGTAACAATTACAAAAGTGTAACTTTATAGGCGAATGAATTACAGATTCTAGACATTCTATATAGCCTGAGAAGTTACAACTTGACTTTTTATTCCATTACTAGGTGCGTGACGCTCGTGTCACCGATTATTTGTGAACCTATACTTTGTGATTATAACTTCAAAATTACTTAAAATCGCTGAACTTAATGAGAAAATAATGCCCTAGTCGTGTTCCTGAAAATCAAATTTATAATTGAACTTGTGTTCTGTTATCACGAATACGAATAGTTCAAAGAACACAAGAACAAGATATTCGTAAATCCAAATACTGTGGCATATGCTAAATAATACCCCATAACTCTTTATACGAGCGTCAATATTTTTCCTGCGGCTGCTTCTAAATGTTTTGGATTTAACAGGGCAATAAAATATTTCAAAATATTGTCGGGTTTTAAAATCGCAAACCGCGAAAGAAAATTCAACATTTATTGGTTTTGTAGGCGGATTTTAAAGAAATGAAAAAAAGAAAGTGAGATTATTGGGGATTTAAAACGTTAGGACAGTGCCAGTGTCAAGAAATCTCAAGATTTTTTTTATTAAACAAGCATGGATTGACA